GCTGAGGGGCAAGTCGAAGACTGAGTTGTTGGCTCAGTTGAAGGATCTGAAAGCTGAACTTGCTCTTCTCCGTGTTGCTAAAGTCACCGGTGGTGCCCCTAACAAGCTATCCAAAATGTATGCATTTTCTTCTTCTGTTGTTAAACCTTGCAATAATTTTTTTTTGATGGGTACTAATTTGGTTGTAATTTTAGTTAATGTGATTTTGTTTTAAAATGTACATATCGTGTGAGATGTGTTGCCTAAGCATAAAGCAGGTAGTTTATGTACTTTTGGTTTATGGTAGATTTTGTTAGCATTTGCCATTATATATATATATATGTGTGTGCGCGTGTGCGTGCGCGTGCGCGTGCGTGTGCGTGTGTGTTCCTTCACAGACAGTTTTCTTACTGTCTTCATCATTTTGATTCTTTTTATACACTACTAAAATTTTTTTTCTGTATAAGAGCATTTCTCTATTGTATTGCTTTTTGTTGACATGTTTAAAACTTAATTCATCAGCTTAGGGAGTAAAGTAAAATATCAATTTGTTAAATAAATACTCCCTCTGTTTCAAATTTATGTGTCTTATTTTTACTTTTATTCTATTTCAAAAAGAACTGTCACATTTCTGTATTAGTAAGTCTTAAATCAATCTTACCCATTTAATCTTAATGATACTCTCTTGTAAGAGTGATATGACATGTTTATAAGATTACAAAATTTAAAGGGTATTTTCTGTATGTTATAACCATTTAGTTAAAGACCATGGGAATCAATATTTTTATATTGTTAAATTTCATTCCCAATCGAACTAAGACACATAATATGAACAAAGGGAGTTCTAGTTAATATCAAATGTTGTATATAAATAATAAGAATTCAGAATATTAAAACATAATGAATGGGGATATAGGAAGTAAAAGAACCTCACCATACAAAGTTTCAAAGATCCTCCACACTGCATTGCCATCCCTGCAGTAGCTGCTGATGTATGTGGTTGTCAAGTCTTTCTTCAGAAGGCTGTGTTAATTGAAGCCATATCAATAAATAGTAACTGATCTAAATGTTAACATAAGCTGTTGATGGGTTCCTTTGAACGGAGGTTGTCTTGTTCATAGATGCTACATTGTACCAAGATGAGGGTTAATGCGGGTACCCTTCATCTTAACTGCCATGGTGGCTGTAGCTATATGTATATTTTTGAGAAGTTTACTGGCCGGCTGTTATAAATCTGTTGACATATCTGCTTACCGAACTTCTTACATTTCTGCTTACGGAACTTCTTACGTTTTGCATCACACTGAAGGTAGACTAATCAGGCTTGCTATTGGTGATTATCCTTGAGACAACTTAGAGTTACCTTGTATTGGGTGTTTTATTCCTTTTTTTTATGGGGGGGGGGGT